GAGAATGAGAGCAGAGAGTAATTGGTATAAAACTGAAGGAATAATAAGGTTCGAGACAATTAATGGACATTTTGTAAATGAAGGATTGAACGTCTATTATTCACATTTTACCAAATAACTTTGTAATTTTGTATTAAGATCCATTTGGTCGTCCCCTACCTGTGTTTTCGTTCATTGAAGATACCTTTGAAGAATCAAATAATCAAATACTTGATCTTTTGCTCAACAGACAGGAATGAGTATTGTTTATTCAGATATTTTCTCTTTTTCTAGACAAAAAACAGTTGTCTATCATTAGTACAACTGTTACTATTTATCTTTTCAATAAACATTTACAAATATACGTCTACTGTAATACCAATACACACATTTCCACACATCAACGTATTACTCAATTAGTGCAATACTATTTAAAGAAATAAAATCGAAAATGTGCTTTTCCTATCTATTTCGAATTCTCCTATTTCTTATGACGCCATTCACCTTTTCTTCTTCTTCTTCGTATTTTGATTTAAAACAGACATAATTTTTACACTTAACATAATCGTGAAGAATATTTGATTTATTAGGTGAATCATTGGATTTTCCTACAGTTTCCTTTTTATTATTAAACAGTATATAGATATACATTGAAACATTTCACCGTCTGTCTGATATTATCTATCCTGTGGAAATGACTATGTGATACCATGCAGTACAAAGATATATATTTCGAAAATGGACTGAATAACATGAATACATAATAACTACGAATGTTTTCCATAATACATTTCTATCTTATTAGAAACACTTTCGAAATATCAGAGGAACATATTTGGTCTGTGATAGACACAACTTATCACTAGGTGAAAATATATTCATCTCTACGTACATTTAATCAAAAATACAATAATGTTGAAGACTGAAAGTCTTGCGTTCGATTCCAGATGGCGGAGTCTTAGATATGCTTTACTAAGAAGTCCTATAATAAGATGTTATAGCTATCTAGTTTTTCAATGGTTCTCTAATCTACATCAGTTCATGATATTAACTGGTAAATTTTAAAAAAATCTCGGCAAACTTTTCAAGTAATATATGTAGAAACATAAACATTTATCAAAATCGATAATGTACATTATCTCTTGCTTATATCTAAATTCGATACTTATTGAACTGTTATGGGATACACCCAGTTTTCTAATTACTAAGGTTACAATTAAACTGTATAATATGAACAGCTGTGAGTAAAACGGAAGTTAGACAACTATAAATGAAACATGTACAAGTGATAATATTAAAAATCCATTGTTCATTATTGTAATTATTATTAATAGTAGTAGTAATAGTAGTAGTAGTAGTAGTAGTAGTAGTAGTAGTAATAGTTGTAGTAGTAGTGGTGGTAGTAGTAGTAGTAGTGTGGTGTGGTCTACTTATATCCATATAAGTAGTATATGGTGTGGGTCAGACATAGAATGTATTTTGGCAGAAGACCGATGAGCAAAGAACTGAAATGAAGTGCAATCGTCTGGAAAATGCATGAGCAATGGAATAAGAGAAGAAACAGTGAAGATTGAAACAATTGGTTGTTAATTTGCAAATAAACTGTTCATTGTTTAATTATCAGAATTTACTGAGATAGACTGTTATCTGTGCTTAAATACATTCGATTGTCCCCAACTAGTGTTCTGTTCACAACAGTAGTAGTAGTAGTAGTAGTAGTAGTAACTGTATAATCTTGAATTACAACATGAATATAACAATGATTCATTTGAGAAATTACCTACAAGCTTACTTGGATAAAAAATAGTATTGTAGTCTAATTACATTGAAAATAGGTTATAATCGAACGAAGGTGACATACCAGAAATGGAAAGACTTCATTTAGAAAAAAATAGTGAACATGAGTTAGAAAGGAGTCGTGATTATATAACAAAAATCATTGCTTAACGTAGGCTCTTAAAAGCCTAATTATCTCAAGTATATATAAAGACAACGAATTGCATGGGTATTAGGTCACTTTAATTTATTCTGGATGATAGTATTATTTTTCCTATTAAGATTCATTGCACTGGACAAAATACATAGCGATTTCGTCTACCTATTTCAACTTAAAGATTATCAGTAGGGACAAATGTTATCACCAGTATCAATACACATGGACAAACATAGACAAGAATTCGACTGGATATGCATCGACATTCTGAAATGTAAATAAATAAATAAAGCCTTTCGAATGAACTTGTCAAATTCTATGGAATAACTACTCAGCTCAGTTCTGCTTAAAGTGATAACTGATTGTTTTGTTTAGAACATAAAAATAAGCTCTACAATTGCACCGTCTGGTTCAGACAACATTTCATCACTAAAAACAAATGCCTGAACCTTGAAATCTTTTCTATCTTGTTATCGTTATATAGCCATTATGTCAAATGTTTATATAGAATAAATGGGTTTTGATTAGCAGTGGAATCGAGGACAAGCGTTTTGTTTTGTTTGAGACTTGTCAGCTAAGTATGATCTAGACTAATGTCAAATGAATAAAAGTTAATATTTGCTGCACAAGTGAGTAGCCACTTGAAATTAATAGCTCTGTGGATAACGTGTTGGCGTTCGTAGTGTGAGGTACTGGATTATAAAACCGGACTGAAAATCAACCGTGAGGTGCTGATATGTATAACTGACTAGTTTGAAATAGACTGAAACGGGCATTATGGATTCCATTAATAGTAACTATTGAGCATAGGTCGCCGATCAGCATTCTCAAACCCACTTTGTCCTCACCCCTTCCTTTCTAGTTCTATCCAACTTTTGTTCATTCTTCTCATGTCTGTCTCCAATTGTCGATGTAATGTGTTCTTTGTTCTTCCTCTTCTCCTTCGGCCTTCAAGATTCCATGTGAGGGCTTGTCTTGTGAAGCACTTTAGTGGTTTCCTCAATGTGTGTCCTATCCACTTCCAGTGCCTTCTCTTGATTTCTTCCTACACTGAAATCTGGTTTGTTCTATCCCACAATAGGTTGATACTGATAGTGTCTGGTCAATGGATCCAAAGTATTTTATTTAGACAACTGTTAATCAACACTTAACAATCATTACCTTTATTTAACTAACTATAAGTAAAGTAAAAGGAAACTCATATAATACCAGCGATATATTCAAAATGTCAGTGTATTGACTTTATTTTATTCAGTTGTTACCCATAACTTGTTAATTATTGAAGTTTTTTGTTTTTTTCATTCTAATAATTTTCATTCGTTTTTTTTCAAATTTTTGTCTACGGAAAATTCACTTCTTCAACATGTAAACACATATATACATACATACATACATACAAACATGCACACATACATGCATACATACACACATAGATAAACATACTCATGCTTATTATAAGCCATTTTATTGACCAATAAGATTCATGAAATAAGTGTGCTATGAAAAAACAACAGGTATATCATAGTATCTATGCACATATATATAATAAAATTAATAATCATGTTTTTTTTTCTTTGTTATTTCATTTATTTATCTGAACAGAATCATCTTTAGAAGGGGTTTTGTGGAGATTTGGTATGTTTCATAGTTGAAAGCATGATTCAATTGAAGCTAGACCACGGAGGAAAACCTGGAAACACTGGACGGCCGTTTCGTCCTATTATGGGAGTCGTCAGCAGTGCGCATCCTTCTAATAATTAATATAATCATATGCTCACTAGAGACTTCGGGAAGTACATCCAGGAGCTCTAGTGAGAAGCAGTGACCAGTGGAGTGCAAACCACGTCTGTCGTGAGATAGGAACTCACTGATGACAATTGGTGAATGGTTGCTCAACTTCGTGGATCAGTTGAAGTTAGACATTAACACCGTTGGATGCCAGCTCAGTGGTCTATCGGTTAAGGGCTCTGGCTCGAGACTGGTATATCCTGGGTTCGAATCTCGCGAGAGTGGGTTCGTGGATGCGGGGTGCTGCTGAGGAGTCCCATAATAGGACGAAACGGCCGTCTAGTGTTTCCAGGTTTTCGATGGTGGTCTAGCTTCAACTGACTCATGCTTTCAACTAAGAATCATCTTTACCTATTTATTATCTTTTTCGTTCCTTCAAAATAATGATTATTTGTGATGATATATATATGTCAAAAGTGATGAATGAACTATAATGAAATCGATTCATAGTTGAGATGCCAACTTTGTAACTTATCCTTAGTGATAAACGATAATAAACAAAAACTATAACTTATAAGTGAAAGAATTCTAATCAAATTTTATTATTGTTTAGTTATTCTTTTGGAATTTCTTCTCGTTTTGTAAATAAGCTTAGTAGTAGAATAGAAATTTGGGTGAATTATATAGATATATACATAAGAGAAAACTGTACTTGAATATTGTGCATTTCAAATAATCAATCTTTTTCTCATCTATAAAAATTTGTGTATCTGTATCTGTTTACAGATTTGTTTTTATATGTTACTGTTCATCAATTGAAGCTAAGTTATGCTTTTAAAACACCCACATATTTGTAATCACATAAATTGAAGTCATAATAATAATAATAATTGTTTAGTTGCATTGAGCCTGAATAATCTTTCTACCTATCAACAATCTGTGTGTAAGTATGTATATGTATATTAAATATATATGTATGTGTGTGTAAGTGTATGTCTTTATAAAATCTTTAAATGGTTGCATATGTCTAACTAAAAATAATATTGAGTAATAAAAACAATGTACCCTTTAAAAAAAAAAAAAGAACACCTAAATGTTCTTTTTTTTCTCTCTCTCTCTTTTTAATTGTAAATTCTTGACAAAATGTACTCGATCATTATCCAAATCATTAGTTCAATTACGTTTCTGTAATACATACATTTACTACTATTCTACTGACCAATGTTATATGACTTCTCTATTACAGACTACTGTTAACCAATAATTACATAATAGAATTTATTATTTGTTTTCTCTTTTGAAGAAAAAAACAACATACTTTTAACTGATATTTAAATTAAAGAAAAATAAAGTAACCTTCACTGACTTGTTCTTTTCTTTTGCTCCCTTTTTTTTTCTCTCTCTCTCTCTCTCTGTTTCTCTTTTTTCAATGGAACAATGAGGAATTGTATTCGTGGATTATAAACAACAACAAAACAAATTACTGGATTACTAAAATACTACTATTATTGTCATTATTCTCATCCATAATTCATACCTATCATGACAAGGAGAATGTAGACCAAAATGTTTAAACAAGTTAAACCATAGTGATACTTCATAATAATTATGACAAATCAGGGATCTATTATGTTTTATTCACTATATTCATTATTAACATTATCATCATATATTAATATGATTATTATAATTACTATTATAATAAGTAGTACATATCATTCAACTATATCAGCTACATGGATTTGTTTAAGTCGTGAACAATTAATTGCATTATCAAATTCTAAAAATACATATCATTTTGAAGCAGAAATAATACAATTAGATAAACCATTAGAATTCATAAAATATACTACTGATAATAATATTGATAAAAACGGTATAAATGCATTTGTTAAAATAACTAAAATTTTAAAACAACCACAAATTGGAAAATTTACTAATTCATTAAAAATGAATGAATTAGTTCATGTGAATCAAATTAAATCAAGAGATGATTTACAAGATATGACAGTTAGAAATGTAGCATTTCACAGGAATTCTGATGATGATGATGATGATGATGATGATGATAATGAACAATGTTTGCCAAAATTAGAAAGGGGAGAAACTTATGAATGGATTACATATGCTTTAGATAATACAAATATATTACATAATAATGAACAAAAACAATTGATTTTAATGCCTGGTGGTATATTTCCATTGTTATCACATCAATCATTGATACAGTTGAAATCAAGTAATAATAATTTTAAAAATAGTAAGTGATTCATATTTTTTGATGATGTGAAATTGAGATCTTTCGAATAGTTCAAACATTGGGTATATAGTTTAATTAAGTGAGACAGTAACTTTATATATATATATATATATATATATATATATATTACTTACGCCTGTTACCCCTCGTGGAGGAGCATAGGCTGCACACCAGTATTCTCCATTCAATCCTGTCCTGGGCAATCCTTTCCACTTCTTTCCAGTTAACATTCATTCTTTTTCATATCTGCCTCTATTTCCCGGCGTAATGTGTTCTTTGGCCTTCCTCTTTTGCGAATCCCTTCCGGATTCCAAGTTAGCGATTGCCTCGTGATGAAGTTTGATGATTTTTTCAATGTATGTCCTATTCACTTCCAACATGTTTTCCTAATTTTCTCTTCAACTGGAATCTAGTTTGTCCTCTCCCATAAAACGCTATGGATGATAGCATCCGGTCAGTGAATGTTGAGTATTTTACGTAGACAACTGTTTATAAACACTTGTAGCTTCTTGACGATGGATTTAGTAGTTCTGCACATTTAAGATCCGTACAGTAGAACTGACTATCTTGACGTTCGTATTAAAGATTCTCACTTTGAAGTTAGTTGAGAGTTGTTTTGAATTCCATATGTTCATATATATAAGAACTTTCGTCTAGCTTTGAACGAACAGTTTCAGTGTAGTTGGGCACCGACTGAATGTAAGACATTGAGTAAGAAAAGAATAAATACAAATTTGTAAAATCTAAGCAATTGAGTTCTCAATAAATCATATATTTAAAATATACTGGGTTTTTATACAAACAAATCAGACCATATCATCCATAAATTAGAAAATAATATTTGTACAAGATCAAGCCAAAAATAACTGTGATTGTGAGAAATTTTGATAAATAGATTGAGAATAACTTGAGAATAGTAAATCATATAACAGTAACCAATAGGCCAAATAAAAGCTTAGAATGAAAGGAATGTGAATATATATATATATATATATATATATATATATCTTGTAAATTAATAGTCATACAATATGGATATTTGTATAATATTAGTCTATAAATAATTACTAATGGTTATCATTTATTTATTATCGAACGAATATTACAATAATAAGCATTATAAGCAAAGATGGATAGTGACTAGCAGTGAAATCCAGGACGCACGTTTCGTCTTATTTGAGACTCGTCAGCTGGATGTACCTGCATATAATTCTGGTACTCGAACCCAGTACCTTTCACTTCAAACGTTATCGCGTTATCCACTCGGCTACAGAGTTCTGATAGCCACTTGTTTGTGCAATGGGGTGAAGTTTAAATTCATTTGGTATTGTTTGTTGGAATCTTCCTAATGATGTTTAGGACTGCAACTGGTCAGTCTCTTATTGGCCATATGTGAATACTGTGCGTAGTGCCTCGATATAGCCACAAGCATTAGTGTAATTCTACATTGAACATAGATTCAACACAAATATCTGTTTAATCATTATATATGTATTATTAGAATGTAATGTACATAACATTAAAGTAATCCTGTACGTCAATCATTCAATCAATCAATTGATAAATCAGTTTCTATCCATAATCTTTTTATCTGAATACAATTTGTTTAAAATAAACTTGTTCAATAAATCAAAGAAGTACGTTGAATAGCAGAGATGTTCATTTCTTGAACATCTATACTATTACCTTAAATGTGACCATTTACTATTTTGGAACAAACTATTTACTAGTCTTCATGTAAAATAAATACCCCCCTTTTTTCAATAAAAAAACATTTGTCTGTTCTAGTAGACAGGTATCAGAGATAAACAGAATTTCATTTCTATATAAGAGATATTTTTTGTGTGTAGATTTCAATAGTTACTTACATCAGTTGATGTACTATTGAATATGAATTGAAGTAAATAATGAATTAAATAAAGTTTAAACTATGAAATATAACTTTCAAATTAAGCAATCATAAAGTATCATGTTTTCTATGAAACATAATTGGATCTGAGTTATGGTCCTTATTAGGGTCATAAGTGTAGATTGATTTGAAATGAAAAAGAAACATATTCCATGCTTATCAATAATTTTTCAGTTATTTCATTAACATCATGAAACAGCAAATGTTAGATCACCATTGAAAACCTAAAACCACTGGATAGTCATGTCATTCTAATATAAGACTTCTTAGAAGTATACATCTACAATCCCGTACCCAAGATTCTAATACAAGAAATCTGGTTTCACTCGAATGCGAGGTGATGAAAAATAACCTTAGAGATATTCATGCTATTTGTAAACATAATTCGATTAGTCAAAGATGGATAGTGGCTAGCAGTGGTATCCAGGATGCGCATTTCATCCTATTTAAGGCTCGTCAACTGTATGTACCTGGAACTCAGAGTTGATGTTTACTCTGGGACTCAAACCCAGTGAATTTATAATTCGATTAAGATTAACCGTAAACAAACGATCTATCAGAATGTCTCCCTTGAAAAAATATGAAATAACTCACAAGTATAGTTGCGAATCAATTGAAATTAAGTATTTTATACTTCTCTATTGATTTTTCAACATTAAACATACCTAAGTACTAAAAGGCTAGAGTTCAAAATGATTTGATTCTTATGTTTGAATATATTTTTAATCTGATATGTTCCAAAAAACAAACAATCAATATGGTCAAAAGAAATGTAAATTTACGTAAAGTTTATTTTTATTATTTATTGGAAGACTTTTATTTATCTGATAATTAGAAGTGATCGGTAGGAAATCCTGAATCCAGGTGTCATGCTAGCTTGCAATCACCAACAAGATTCACGTACAATCTTGAAGGGATTAATACTCCATCTGAGATTTAAATTAGGGTTATTCAACCTACATTTTCCTTATTGTTATTATTTATGGGTAAATTTGATTATCCCATTTGTTTTTGGTTTACAATATAGTTTATGAATCAATCAATAACTAATCACAAAAGTATAATGTTGACCGATGTTTTTATAGTAATCAAATGTACTCCGTCCAGATAAGTTACCTTGATAGTTGTTCAAAGTAGGAGCAAGAATCAGCATTTCTAGTGATAGTTGGACTATCTAGTCTCTCCTTAGTAAATAATGGCATGCTTTTCATTTGAAATGGTGAACCTTGTCCGACTGGTTACGTTTCACATAGCCTACATTTATATATTCATCCCAACGTCTTTCATCTGCCTAATTTAATTAAATCATGTGATTTTGAAAAGTGAGAAAGAAATAATCAGAAGTGACATTATAAAAATGATGAGGAAACAAAAGTATCACAAGAAACATCTACTTCGGTAACCTAAAATTGACTGATGTTTCATTGTAATCCGGCTATTGAATTCGTAATATAATAATTATCTTTATCTATTCTTATCTTGCGTTTCTAGTCTGATCGACCTTTAATTTTTATATACAAATGTTCTGAAACAGTTTATTATGTGTGATCAGATTGTTCAAAATGTATTGAGCTAATATATGACATTGTTCTGATAATCTTAATCTTCTTATAACACTATTTAAATATAATAATAAATATTATTATTGCATAATTATCATAATGTAATGAACATGAACACAAGTGGAAGGAGGTAGACAATTTTATTTGAATATAAAATTACAGAGTTATTTGGTAAAATGTGAATACTAGACGTTCAATATAACATTTGGAGAATGTCCATCAATTGTCTCAGACTTTATTGTTCCTTCATTTTCCATACCAATTACTTTGTAGTCCCATTCTCTTCTATTCAATATTCCAAACCTTCTGCTGCTAGATATTCCACTTTTGATTAGTACTACATACTACCTATATCTTTCAATATAATTAATATACACTACAATAGTACATTTAACCAATACTCACATCTATGTCGTTCTCGTACTATATTAGGTAAATGTAGTCACCAGAGTTGTTTGCTAAAAAGGACGTTACCATAGTGACTAGAATAACATATATTGTAATCCTATAAATCTTGAAGCGTTTATCATAAAAGATCTATGGTTTTCTTACGTTTGAAATTGTCTGAATATATATATATATATATATATATATATGTTTGCAGGAAAGTATTAGGTTTATGAATTTTTGATAAACTTATGTAAGCCACTCCCCAAAGTTATGCCGATAAGTCAGACCTATTAAATAAGTTTATCATTACATCATGATATAGTGTACTGGAAATGTCTTAAAACCAGTTATCTATGATATTTTTCAAATAACATATTGAGTAGTTGTCCTAATTAATAGAATACCTATAAAATAATTAATCATTCAAGTAATTAGAATAAATGGATTCATATATTGGCATGAGAATTGCTTATCCAACAATAGATTGTAAGATCAATTATTGTTTAAGTAATAATTATGTTCTTATATTATTAAATCAAAGAAAAGCTTTAAATCATACTACTAACAATACTACTCATTTAATATAATTCAAAGTATTCTTATATTTTAATTGAAATCATGAACTGATCGATGTTAGGCCACGATTGAAAACCTGGATGCAGTGGATGACCATTCTGTCCTAGTATGGGACTCTTCAGTAGTAGGCATCCACGATCCCACATGTAGGATTCGAACACGGGATCATCAGTCTGGTACGCCAACTCTTAGACTCTAGAGCACTGATCCGGCATCCAACGGTATAAATGTCTAAATTCAACTAGTCCACGTTATAGTGCGACTATACTCCATTGTTTTCTGTCAGTAACTACGTCACATCAGACACAGTTGAACTCCACCGGTCAAAGCCACAAGCCTATACTGGTATTTTTATATGATATTACAGTTTGAATTAGAGCTATTTAATAATCTACTAAGATTTTAAAACATTTCATTCATTCTGTTAATTTCAACTTTATATTAAACACGTAACTTGATTATTATAATTTCTCACTTGTTAAGAAATAACGAATAAACAAACTTTATTCATTCCTGTCTGTTTGATTTTTAGTTTTAACTTCATTAAATCAGTTGCGAAAAAA